CCCACGCCGTCTGCACCACCTGCGACTTGGCTGCCGGCGTATACACGCCCGTTTCACACGACTGCAGCAACCCCCAAAAGGAACAAAGTCAGCTCCCCTGCACCCTCTGCTCGAAATCCCAAATGATGATGGTGCTTACCTTGTACGTCTCTCCCCAGCCGCCGTCGTCCATCTGCTTGGAGGCGAGGAAGTCGCATGCGCGGCGCACGGCGTCGCTGTTGTCGTACGTGTTGCCCGCCAGACTGAGGCTCTCGACGGCAAACATGGTGGCGTAGGTGAAGCAGATGGCCCACGAGCCGAACCAGCTGCCATCGTCGCGCTGCGCCTTGAGGATGTACTGCGTGGCGCTCTGGACGGTCTTGGCGATGTCGTGCTGGCGGTAGTCGTCGATCTTGGTGAACTTGAGCAGCGCCGTGACGACCGAGGTGGTGCATTCGGGGTAGGCGTATTCGATCATAATGTCGCCAAACACCTCGGCCGGATTGATGAGCTCCAGCAGTCCCGGACCGTTGATCGTCTCGTACGACGCAAAGCCGCCGCCGGGATTCTGCATGGTGAGCAGCAGGTCGACGGCGTCGTGCATGCGTTCGCGCGACACGGGCTTGCCCAGGTACGGCACGTTTTCCTGCAGCATGATGACCGCCTTGAGGCCTTCGCCCGTACAGTCGGATACGACGTACCCCTGCTCCTTTGTGGAGAAGGGCCAGGCGCCCTTGGTGGCGAAGCGGTAGCAGGACGCGTGGTGGCGCGGATTGTCGCGGATCTGGCACTCGTCGAGCCAGTGCAGCAGCTTCTCGGTGAGCTCGCGGTTCTCGGCCGCAGCGGCAAGCCCCGAATCCACCATGGCCTGGGCGATGAACGACGTGTCCCAAAGCTGGCTGCCGTTGGTGCCGGTCATCATCATGCCTTCGGCGCCGATCCACATAAAGTCCTTGAGCTTTTCGCGGTGCATGCGCATCGCATGGCTGTCGTGGCCCTCGACGTCCCAGCGCGCAATGTAGTTGAGCATCTTGTTGACGGGACCGAGGCACTGGTAGCTCGTGTTTTCGTCCTCGAGCACGAGCAGCTCGTAGGCGCGCTTGATGCCCGCGCGACGTAGCGGCGGGATGTGGCAGTTGTCGTACGCGCCGACGATACCCATGAGCGCCTTGAGCGTCTTGGTGTGTGGGTAGAATACGTCGACTTGAGCGATGTTGCCGCGCTGCGCGGGCCAGTTGATGGATTCGTACGGCTGCACGTACAGCTCCTGGCGCAGCGACTCGATGAGCGGATCGAGTGGCGCCTTGAATCGGCGGCCCCACAGATAGCCCATGGGGATGTAGACCATGCGCGTGTGAATCCACCATCGCCAGGGGTGAATGGGCATCCAGTCGGGGAGCAGCCACAGCTCGGGCGGGATGGGGTTCATGCCCTCCCACTCGTAGCAGTTGAGGATGGCGAGCCAGAGCTTGCCCCACGACGGGATGCCTGCTGCGCCGCCGAGCTTGTGGAGCGTGCCGCGCGCCTTGACCATCATCGGGTGGTCGGCAGGCACGCCGACGATGCGCAGCACCGTGTAGTTGAGCGCCGTGCCGAATACGGTGGAGCAGCCTTCGATGTGGATGCCCCAGCCGCCGTCGGCCTTGTCGGCACGGTTCCAGAGGTAGCGCGCCACCTCGATCTTCCACTCCTCGGGGATGGGCGTCTTGGTGACGTACATGCCGATGATGATGCCGGGCAGCAGGAACATCGGTCCGCCGTACTCGCCCGCCCAGTGGCCGTCGTTGGACTGGAGGTGGCGGTAAAAGTTGAGTCCGTTGGTGGCGGCGTCGAGCGGCGTCTTGGCAGCAGGTTGTTGGGGCAGCTCGGTGGGCAGGCCGAGCCAGTACTTGTCTTCGATGGACTGCGGCCATGCCTTGCACTCGGCATCGTCGCGCAGGTAGTGCCATACGTGTCGGCCGCCGTCCGAGACGCGCAGCCTCCAGCGCGAGGCATCGGTCTGGCCGAGCGGAGGAGCGTTGGGCGGCATAATGTTTGTTGGGGTTGCGACTCAGCTGGATGGTGACGGCGCTGCTCCTGTGGTGGTGGTCGCTTCGGAAGGTGCCGAGGTGGGAATGGGTGACAGCTTTGGGCGGATGAACCGATGTGCCATCGAGATCGAGCCCAGAGTGGCAGTCAGAAGGTGTTCTTTGCATTCGAAGGTCGTATGATTCTCAAATTGGCCGCGCCTCAGGCCGAAAGTGACACCACACCGTGCCGACAGCGAAGCGCCTTCCCGACGCCCAACATGCGCGTGAGGGTGTTGCACCAGATTTAACATGCTGAATCTTTTTCAAGGTGTTGAGTGCACAGACTCCACCTTCTCACACACACGCCTTCCTTCGTCGCCGACAACCATCCCCCACACCTTCTCGCCGATATTGGTGAACCTCGGGCACTTTTTGTTTGAACCCTACGACCGATCGACTCGCATCCGACGCATCGCTCTTCACGACTCGAGCACTGCACGCATCCCACCCACTCGAGCATCGACCGGCTACATAGCTTCTCTCCACGCACAAAGGCAACGTCGCTCGACGATGGTACGTCCTCGAACTCCCAGAAGGCTCACTCCCAGTACAAGGAGAGACGTAGACTGACGCTGAACGATGACTTGTGGCTGCGAACCAGTCGGCGCTGTTCAACTTTCACTCGCTGCTGCGCGTGGTGCTGCTGATCATCTGCACATGCACCTATGTGCGTGCCACCGCACCGGCGCTCGTCGACCGCAACAAAGAGGGGTGCGTTTCCCCGCTTCCACCAGCACGGCAGATGCGGGCATGCTGACACTTTCGCTGATTGCATTGCAGATTCCTCGGCGTCTTCTTCAAATCGGCACGCATCGGTAAGTTCTTCCGCAGAATTGGGCTGGCAATAGGCATTCACTGACACCAACCCATTGCGCCTTTGTTCGCAACAGGCGAGAGATTGAGTCCCTACGTCTCATTGGCATGTCTTGTGATGGCGGTATACGAAGTCGTCTAGCTCGCAAATCCCAAAAGCAACCGCAGCAATCCTCGTCTCTCGCTATTGACGTGCACACTAGTTTGGGTTGGAGACAAAAGTGGAGATCCTCCAATACACGTGTGCAAAGTTATGGGGAGACTAGGCCTTGGATTCGCGGTCCTTCTTCATTCCGTCCTGGATCCACTTGGAGGCCTGTGCGGCCTTCTCCTCGGCCTCCTTGGCGTGCACCTCGAAAAAGTCGGGGCTGCGCATCTTTTCCACCCAGTCCGTGTTGCCGTTGGGCACCTTCATGCCTTCGCGCACCGCCTCGCGCGCCCAGTTCCGGTCGATGTAGTCGCGCACGCTCTGCGGCACGTCTTCGTCCTTCAGACCAGCCCACTTGTAGTACTGCAGCCACGGGTACGCGTTGATGTCGGCGATCGAGTACTTGTCTCCCACCAGCCAGTCGTGATCCTTCAGCCTACGGTCCAGCACCTGATACAACCTTTTGGTCTCGGTCACATAGCGGTTCTTTCCATAGGGGATGTCCTCGGGAGCATAGCGAACGAAGTGGTTGGCTTGGCCCTGCATCGGACCGATTCCACCATGTACGAAGTAGAGCCACTGAGTCACTTCAGAGCGTCTGTCGACGCCATCGCCATCATCAGACCAGCTGAAGATGTGGTCGGGATCATAGTGCTTCTCGAGGTAGAGAATGATGGCGGCGGTTTCGAAAACGCAAAAGTCGCCGCGGTTGGGGTCCTTCAGTGCAGGGATTCGACCATTGGGGTTGATGGCGAGGAACCAGTCCTCCTTCTGCTCGTTCTTGCCCAGGCTGATCGCTTGGTACTCGACCTCGAACGAAGGATAGGCGCGCTTGAGCTCCTCGGTGAAGTTGGAGACCTTCTGGCCGTTGGGGGTGCCAGCCGTGTAGAGGATTACGGGCTTCATGTTGCAAAGTGAGTCTACGAATGGGGTAATGGATGGGTGGATGGATGGCTATGGGAGGAAGAAGCGAGGAACGACGGGGTGGGTCCCGGCTATATACTCTTCTGCTTAACCCCGGATGGCGCACAGACGAAATCACTCGATCTCACCTGTTGGTGCTCTTGCCCAGGTGGAGGCGCGCGTCAGCCAAAATTGGCCAGTGCTCCGCCGCTGCTGCTTCATTATTTCTTGTCCCTTTTCTTCATCTCTTTTTTCTGCGTCATTTCTTCTTCAGACCAACAGCTGCTCGCGACATGCAACCAATCATGGCATTGTATGGGTATCAATCTAGCAATCGAGCACGACGGTGGCACTAGCCGCCTTCTTGAGCCTGTTCATCACCGCGAGTCCCACGCCCGAGTCATCGAGAGCCTCGACAAAGATGAGCTCGCACTTGTCGGCGCCGTGCAGCGGGCCCTCGTCGAGCGTGCGCAGGCCGTCGAACATGCGCTGCGCATACACCGACGGCTGCGCACTCGGCCCGAGATCAAACCGGTGCACCAGCACACCCGGAAGCTCTGATAGCTCGAGTGGGGGCAGAAGGTGAGGATGCACATCGGTGCCCGTTGGTGGCGCGGGTGCCGAGGCCGAGCTGATGAGTCGGGCAAGATTCGAGTCCGAGGAGGTCATAACTCCCACGTTGATCGTAGACCCCGCTGGCCCCGCTTGGAGTGTGCTGAGTTGGTCGCGGATGATGTGTGCGAACGAACGCGGTGCGGCAGGCGGAGAGTCGATAAGCGAGTCAACCAACCGAGCCGAGGCAGTCTGCTGCGACGAGGTGACGGCACGTGCAAACAGCGTGGCGGGGAGCAGCATAACGACGCGCGCAGTTGGAGAATAGTGTCTGTACTTCATGCCTGGCGTCGTGGGATTGCTTTCCTGCTGTGCACTGCGCTCCATATCCTTGCCGTACACGCGCAGCTTGGTGTCCAGCCTGGCCTCGTTAAGCACTTGCGCAATCTGCTCCACCGTCACTCCACCCGGTCGCAGCACCCGGACCTCGTCGTCGGCCGATATCCCGTCAACGACAGTGCTCTCCACACCTACAGTGCAGGCTCCGCCGTCGAGAATGTACTGGAGCCTTCCGTGTGGTTCCGCCTCGTTGGTGTCGAGCTGTCCGCCCAGGTCGCGCATCACGTGTGCTGCTGTGGTGGGCGATGGACGTCCTGAGGCGTTTGCGCTGGGTCCTGCCATGGGCAGACGCGATGTGGCGATCAAGGCTCTTGCGATTGGATGCGACGGCATGCGGACCGCCACGCTGGGCTGGCCGCACGTCACCACGCTAGGCACAGCTGGAAGCTGCGGGTCTACGGGGAAGAGAAGCGTGAGAGCGCCGGGCCAAAACGCCTTGATGAGAGCAGAGTAGGCAGCGCTCATCGTGTAGGCCGGCGGGAGGAGCGAGTCGAGCATCTCGAGATCGGCGACGTGCACGATGAGCGGGTTGTCGGCGGGCCTCTTCTTGGCCGCATAGATTTTGGCGGCTGCTGACTGCGAGAGCGCATTTGCGCCCAAGCCATACACGGTCTCCGAAGGGAACGAGACCAGCTGGCCGGACTGCAGATGGCGTGCGGCAGTGGCGAGACTGTCGCGGGTCACCGAGGATGCGATCAGAGGCTCGGCGCGGCTCAGCGGCTCAGCACCGCCGTAGCGAGACGGACCAGCCTCTCGAAATGCGACCGAAGCATCGGCATCGCAGGGGAGAAGCTCGGTGCGGAAGGTGCGGTCGGGATAGCCGAGCGAGTGGGTGTCGGACGAAGTCATGGTGCAAAGCGGCCGGGTAATGCGCTGAAGAAGCGGAGCGTGCGGCCGCGGTATGGAGGAAAGTGTGTGCGTGATCGATCCAAGTCGCATGAGCTCCCGAGAGCAAGCGTGCTGTGAGGTGGCGCTGCAGCCTTGCTTCGCTGTGACAGAGCGATTGTGATTGTCGGCAGGCAAGGGTCATGCTGCCGAAGAGCTCGAATGAAATCTTTAGACTCGAATTCGGTCCAGAAAAGTTTGCAACAGCCAAGCGCCTTCTCGATGTGGAGTTTTATTTTCTGCTCAGTCATGTCAGAGCAGCCCAGCACACATTTGGCCATTTTGACGATTTTCGACGCGCATTTTCTTGGCAGGCTGGCCGCGGGTGTGGGGAGAAAAAGCAAGCGACGAGGCGGAGAGCTAAATATTCGAGCCTCGACTCCGAGGCCGATCCATCCGTGAGCGGGGCTCGGATGTGACGCCTGGAAGACAGACGAGCAGCAGCTCTCGAGCCCGAGATGATTGTGCATTCAGCCTTCGAACTCGAGTAATCGTCTTGCGAATCATGGCCCTGTCTGGGTGATCTTCGGATGTGAGCCGTCGGGGTGGCTCGGCCCGGAGACGTTGCGCTGGCTGGCGGTGAAAAACACGAAGCGGATTCGGACTGCAGTGGCGTCGCGGGATGAGCAAAAAGAGTGACGATGGAAGCGAGGGACGGTACCGCCGATCTCACCGCTCGTGGAATCGAGCACATGACAAGCTTGGCAGACACCACCTGCATGTTGGGAGCAGTAGAGAAGGGCAGGCTCGGCCAAGGCTTCCTTTCTGGGACCTCTCTCTACTGTCTGTTCCGTCGGCTGCATACAGTACAGCCAGGCAAAACTGTGCGCCACCGACGTGCCTTTGCTTGGCTGGATGGAAGCCAGGGCGGATTTCGGGCTGCGGGCTGCATGCCCGAAGCTGTCCAAGCAGCAGCAAGCAACGGCAGGCGGGTCGGCGGATGCCAACAGCCAACAGCCAAAGTGGCAGAGTCATGCATGCACGCTCGTGCGTGTTCCCGACCGTCGCTTCTAGCAAAGAAGCAAGCCGTTCTTGGCACCGACGCGTGTCGTGTTTATAATATTCTTGCCGCACCGGTACAGCAAGGCAGCAGGGCCGATAGAACACTCGAGACCGGCGTGGCTTGCAGTGATTGGGCAGCGTCGATCTCTGTATGCTGCAGCCACCAGAACACTGCCAACTGCATTCACCAGCACAGTGCTTAGGCGACCGATAGGTGAGATCGACGTTGGGCTGGCAGAGATACGGCGCCAAGTTAGAGATTGCCAACCAACCCAATTCGTGGGTCTGCTGGCACGCGAGACTAGCTCCTTCCTATGCGAGTGATTGGAGCAAGCCAGTCACCGGGGATGCGGTCCTGGCTCGGCCCTGAGAAGCAGAGTGGCTGCCAGAGAGCATCAAACAATGGGCGGGCGATGCGCTGCAGGCTGCATACTCGGGCCAGAGAGAAAATGCTCTATTGGTTTGGCGAGACAGAGAGAGAGCAACAGCAGCAGCAGCAGCAAAGCAATCAATCGCATGCCGACCGAAGCCAACAGCGGGAAAAAGAAGCATTTTTCGAAAACTTGCCACGTTTCGCAGCCCGAGAGGGCTCCAGGGTCTCGCACTTTTCCTTTGGGCCCAATTCGGAGCGACTGCAGCTCTGTGGTGGCGCCAGGGCAGTGTCACGGCCGGTCAGGGCTAAAGGGTCCGCAACAGCTGCACGGCTGCAGCCGAGGCATCAAGCAGCGGCAGCACCAGCAGCACCAGCAGCGTTAGCGCAGATCCCGCCGGTCATCCCTCATTCGCCTCTTTTTTCCACTCGTCACCGCCGTCGTCGGGTCTCCCGAGCCCGCTGTGCTGTAGACAGCGGAGCTTGTAAGGGCGGCGGTTGCTGCTGCGGCTGCGGCTGCGGCTGCTTCTTCGGAGGCAGGCCGATCGGTTCCCACTCTCGGACCAGAGCCTAGGCTGGACATATGCAATCCCCAAAGTGCCGTTTCATCTCCGCTACCGCTGCTTTCATCCCACCATTCAGAGACCAGACGCGACAGCAACAGCAGACGCGCTCAAAGCCCACCCAACCACCCACCCA